TGGACTTTGATCAGTGTCTACTGACAAAATTTATCGGAAGAAATAATTGATGGAATTAGTTAATAAACACTGTATGAACATCCAAAAATTACTGTGATTTACAGTATCTCAGGATTGAGCTTGGAATATTGTGTGTGCTTCAGCTGGGTCATGAAGAGACCTTTCACCTGTCCAGATTTTGTCATGTTGGCGAGATGTGGTGGAGAGTTTATATTCCAAGTGGTGGGGTTAGGGTGCAGTAACCCTCACATAAGGGGGATTCAGGGTGCACAGTTCCATAACAATGACAACACTACATAGACATCACATAGTCTATCCAGCCAGTTCTTGAAATATCAGGTCATGTATTGTCACTATTATTGCCTAGTACTGACTAAAATCACTATAAATGCACACAAGATATTATATGTAATCCATCAGTACTAATCCTGGTATTCTTAGTATAATTTAGCAAAATACATTTTTATAAATTTCAGTAAATATATTGAGAAATTTAGAAAAGGGGAGGAATGCACTAGCTGCTGTTTTTTTTTTTTTTTTTTTTTTTAGAAAAGGGGTAATTGTTTTGGAAAGTTTACATACATACATGTACTTTTCTGGTACATTCAGTTTATCAGGTCCCTAATATTTGCCTGTGAAAATATATCAATTTATAGGAGATTGGTGGAGTGGAGCAAGATATTACAGTGTAGGGTAATTAGCACCCCCCCCCCCCCAGCTTCAGTCATGTGTATCCAACTATCTCAGGTTGGGGTTTCTATAATGGGAGTAAGGTGAGCAGATGCAATCACTCTAGCTAGTTCTTTCCTTTTTTTCATGCTTAAAAAAACATTGACACTAAATTATTTAAATGGTATGCCTGGACCTGTGCATACATGCCATGGTCTGCTGGTCCCGTTTTTGGGGGTCATGTCATGTCATGTCACACACACTATGGTGCCGACACAATCCCCCAGTTATTTGAGTAAAAATACAATAAATACTTTTTGTAAAAATACAATGAACACTTTTTTTAAGGAGTAAGTTAAAGTGCATATAGCTTAATATTTGGGAGCCTTAGAACATGTATTGGCATGATAAACACTTTATAATGCATATTGTTTGTAGAATTATAAAATATGAATCTTTTTAGATTTTCTTGTCAGACACATTTGTTTTTTGTTTTTTTCCTTTTTTTTAAGTGTGTATATATTAAGATATTATGAGCAGTGAAGCTTTCAGGGTAAAGCATACTGAAATCCAGCATGACTAAATATTTTGTGGGGAAAATTATAATTCCTTCAAAGGCTTAACCGTCTTAGGATTTGAAAAACAAACACTTAAGAGATGGAAACCTTATAAACATGTATTCAGGAAATGAAATATTTATGTGTTTGTTTACATATATGCATATATGCAAACATGTAAAATTACACTTACACTTATGCATCTGTCCTTTACATTTCTTTGCATTTTCAACAATAAAGTGCCAGGGCTGTCTACAAGGAAAACAACATTGGAAAGAGACTTTCTTGGAGGCGCTGAAACTCTGATAGTCATCAGTGATATAAGTGCAGTATTTTTCTAAACATAATGTTTTTATTGCAGGTCAGCTTTTAAGGATAGCAGCAACTGCTTCATTCCACACTTCGTCAAGCCTGAGAAAGCGTGATTACTATGAAGTCCTGGGTGTAACACGTAATGCATCTTCAAAGGATATCAAGAAAGCCTATTATCAACTTGCTAAGAAATATCATCCGGATGTGAATAAGAACGATCCCTCATCCCAAAAAAAGTTCACAGAGGTGTCAGAGGCATATGAGGTAGGGACAACACTGATGTCATGAGAAGGAGTGACTGGGTGAGTGAATGAATGAGCATGAGAGAGAGAGAGAAAGAGAGAAAGAAAGAAGAGAGAAAGAGAGTGTGTGTGTGTGTGTGTGTGTGTGTTCTATAGTCAATACTATGTGTATATTTGTATTTTTGTGATATTGCAAACTTGGCTACATTGCTTGACCATCCTTTCACAGGTTTTAGGGGATGATGAGAAGCGTCGGCAGTATGACACGATGGGCCACACAGCGGAGGAGATGGGCAGGGCTGGAGGCGCCAGTGCGGGCAACCCATTCCAGTCCGGGTGGCAATATCAGACTACAATCGATCCAGAAGAACTCTTTAGAAGAATCTTTGGCGATTTCGGAAGAGGAGGCATGGACATGGGAGACCATGATTTTGCAGAATCAGCCTTTGGGTTTGGTGCAGCGCAAGAGGTTTGTATTGTCTTATGTGGTTCTCAAATATCTATCTAACCTACTGCTAATATTATCAACATCAGGCATTCATGAAGAACATAACCTTTGTTAATATTATATCTTACTAAGAGAGCAACATCAATTCTCTCTTTACAGATAGCCATCAATTTAACCTTTTCACAAGCTGCTCGAGGAATCAACAAAGACGTGACCTTGAACACAGTTGATATATGTCCAAAGTGCACAGGGTCCCGATGTGAACCTGGCACCAAGGCGAGTCGCTGTCAGTACTGCAATGGCACAGGCATGGAAACAATGAGTACAGGTAAGAATGCAAAAATGAGAGTAAAGTGTAGGTTGGATTGATATCTATCTCTCTCTCTCACTCTCACTCTCACTTTCACTCTCACTTTATCCCCATAACCCTCTCTCACCTTCAGGCTCTCTACTTTCCTCACCCTCTCCCTCAGCTTGAGGCTCTCTACCTTCCTCACCCTCTCCCTCACTCCCTTCTCTACTCCCTTTTTCTTTCTTACCCTCTCTCTCCCACATCATCTCCTGCTTTTCTATCTATCTCCCTTATCCTCTCCCTCTCTCTCTCCACCCACCGTATCCCTCCTCCATCCTTTCCCTTCCTTTCGCTTTACCACTCAATCCCTCACTTTCTCCCTCCATATTCTTTCCCCTCTCTCTCCTTTCCTCTCACTTTCCCTCTCCCTCTCTCTCTCCCTCTCTCTCTCCCTCTCTCTCTCCCTCTCTCTCTCTCTCTCCCTCTCCCTCCATCCAACCCACCTACCTCCTCTCCCACTCTCTATCTGGTTATAGACATTTCTTTTTCTTTCTTTCAGTGAAGTGATAACTAATACAGCCACATGTTTAATAAGCAACAAGCAAAGAAAACACCATTGATACTAATTGATTTTTATATTTTAGGACCCTTTGTGATGCGTCAGACTTGTCGATATTGCCATGGGACTCGCATGCACATAAAGTTCCCCTGTACAGAATGTGAAGGAAAAGGCCAGACCGTACAAAGGAAGACAGTCACCGTTCCTGTCCCTGCAGGTGAGTGAATGCTTTGTACTAGAAAGATAATTTGTTATTAAATCTTTTTTTTTCTGTAATGTCATTCATCTTATTCTTTTTGATTGTTCTTTCTGATGTTAAATATAAGAGAAAATAGTTTTACTCTTTGAATGTCATATCAGTATCCATAGACTTCTAGCCTTGTAGTAATTTATAGGTGATGTATCCTGTCACTTCCACACGAAGAAGGAATATTCCTTTGACATTGCATCCCTAATAATCCTATAATGTACAGGTGTTGAGGATGGACAGACACTGAGGATGACCGTCGGCAGGAAGGAAGTTTTTATCCGCCTCAAGGTTTCCAAGAGTGATTATTTCCGACGAGATGGTGCAGATGTCCACACAGATGTAACTGTTTCCCTGGCTCAAGCAGCACTAGGGGGAGCCACCAGAGTCCAGGGCATCTATGAGGATATCACACTACAGGTATGAGTTAGGAAAGATGCATTTTTTATTGCTGTGTAGAGAGTGAGTTAGTGTATGAGTGTGTGTGTGTGTGTAAGAGTGAGTGTGTGAAAGTGTGAGTGTGTGTAAGTGTTAGTGTGTGTGTAAGTGAGGGAGAGAGAGTGAGTGAGTGTGTTTATGTGTGTGTGTTACCCTCTCCCTCCCACACCATCTCCTGCTTTTCTATCTATCTCCCTTACTCTCTCCCTCTCTCTCTCCTCCCACTGTGTGTGTGTGTGTGTGTTTTTGTTTTTGTGTGTTTTTGTGTTTTCATGTTTTTGTGTGTGTGTGAATGAGGGAGAACAAGTGAAGGTGGGAAGGAGGGATTCAAATGATGTATAGCACATTTATAAAATAGTTTTAAGCAAGTTGTATAGAATTGATATCCATCTTGCTTATGCGTGTTGACAGATTCCAAAGGGCACACAGTCCCACTCCAGAATATGTTTGAATGGCAAAGGCATTAAGCGTATCAACACCTATGGCTATGGCGACCACTATGTCCACGTCAAGATAAGGATACCCACAAAACTCTCAGCAGAACAAGAAGCCTTGTTGACAGCTTTGGCAGAGCTTGAAACGGACACACCAGGGACCATCAATGGCATTACCTACACCAAAGACGGTAAGTTAGTGCCAAGTTGTTGTAGTAGTAGTAGTAGTTCGTAGTAGAACAAAAGTCCTTGTGAGTGCTAGGAGACAGGTGTTCTCACTTCCACTCTTCTTGCTCTTTTGGTCGTGGTATGCAAGTTGTATTGAATTTTCTTTGTTTTCTTTTTCTTCCTCTCTTACTTCTTCTTATGTAAAACTTGCATTGATATGATACTTGAAATGTATGTATTGGTGCTGACCTTAAGGCAGGAAATGAAGTCTAAATGTGAGTTGTCATATCAAACACAGGTAAATCATTAGATTGATAGTATATCACAGTCTTCCAAGCGTATTATTTCAGTCTGTTGAATTTATGTATATAACTTTTATGCATACCTTTGGCTTACCTTTGATGTAGAATTAACCCAGAGGCACTAGATTGAGGCACTATGCAGTGTACATTTTTGTTCAGTTTTGTTTGCGCATAGATGCTTCAGAAGCACTTAGTAAGCAAGGGGTCATTTACTAAGCCTGCCTAACAGCACCTAGAAATTTTAGGTGAGAATTTTATATCTAATGCTGTTATTATTATTTTCATTATCATTATTATTATTGTTGATTTATTAATAACATTACCATTATTTACAGTAATGTTAGCAAAAAAGAAATCCCCAAATTTCTAGGAATGGGTAAACAAATGTCTAGTAATTAATTTTGATAAATGGAAATGAAAACCAAGAACATTTTGTAGTAATATAATTTCCATACTTTATACATCTGTTAAAAAAAAAAAAAGTGATCAAACTTTATCACATATTTTATTGTGTGCATTTTCAAGGAGAAAGTTATACGATTCTGAGAAAGTGCTGCCTGGTCAATGTAAATTACCAACACTCTTTTCTTTTCTTCATGAGAAAGACTAGCAGGGAGAGATTACCTTAAAAAGTTGCATTAAGTGAAGATATATATTCTTGCCTGATATGAAAAAGAAAATGCAACTTCTTTTTTGGCTTAAGAAATATAAGCAAAGCATACAGACGGAGAGGATTACATGCTTCGCAATATTTTCCTGGCTTAGCCATTGCTGAAAATTTTAGATAATGAAGAATAAGAACTCCCTTCCCTGTTTCCTGCAGGAAGGAAGAAAGCCTATCAAGAACAGGCAGCACAGACTCAAGACACAAAATCTTCCACTCAAGAGTCAGGGTCCTTCTCCACCAAGTCTGATGCCGACGATGGCCTCTTGACCAAAATTAAGCGTGCTATTTTTGGTTAGGGTGCGTATCACACATTTGCATATCATTCTGCGGCTTTCATTCATTTTCACTGTTTTCACTATTTTACTGTGAGTGTGTGCAGGAGGTGTCACAGTTTTTGTGACTAGGGATTGATTACAGGCAGTCTTTTATTGTATGAAGTAGCCTTTAAATTCAAATTTCAGGTTTCTGCTTTCGTAGCTTGTGATAATGTTGCACCATTTTCTACTTTAAGTATACCTTATTATCCTGGTCAATTGTTTATGCTGCATTCTCAATTGCACCAACAGGTAAACAAGTTGCTGTCGAGGAAAATGATACTCTGAGGCAGATCCGTGCTATACTAAGGGGCAATATAGAAGAAATTGTTGCTCGGAAAGTTGCAGATGATGTGGAGGATGCAGCAGAGGACACAAAGAGACCAACAGAGGATGATAGTAAACTAGGAGACAGAGTCGAAGCCAAGAAATAAAGGACATGAGATGTGAGGCACTGTATATTTTCTTTTGTTGGCAGTTTCAGAAAGGGGAAGACAAAGTGGAAAACTTGATTGTCAATATTCTGTTGTCTACTGTATTCAGATCTATATTCTGTCTTGTTTAAAAATACTCTCTCTCTCTCTCTCTCTCTCTCTCTCTCTCTCTCTCTCTCTCTCTCTCTCTCTCTCTCTCTCTCTCAGGAATGGCTTCCTGTTTTTATTATGCATTATGAGATTTGTAAGATAAACCATATCTTTTGATGTTCTTCTTAGAAAGTGGTACTGTTTTCCTAATTACTGATGTATCACTATAAATATATTTCTTATTTTGTTTTTTGTATGTTTCACATTTTTGCAGTGTGATTCTCAAACCAGTCCAAGTTAACTTGCATAATTATTCTGCATGAATTGAATTGTTTCCTTAAACTTTACAAGAATGTAGTGTTTAGCTGTGCTCATGTTCAGATTGAGAATTACAGTATATACATTAAACTGCAAAATTGTTGTGATGCAGTCATGTTGCAGATTTTGCTTTGCTGTCAAGTTTTTCAATATTCTCCCTGACAAGCCCTCCAAAGTGCCATGATAATTTAATTTTGCTGTCAACAAATTGAATTATGTTTATGTAACTTGTAGAGGACCATTGCATCAGATACAAACTCCTGAAGCAAACTTTTGATCTCATGGCTCTTGATTAAAATTGCTCATAGCTAACACCTGAGTCAGAATTCATGTACTTTTGGCTTTGTAGTATAGTAACAGTATCAGAATTCAAGTCACGGCCATTAGGTGTGTGTCATAGTTCTTGGCATTATTTTGATTCTGGCAATTTTATGTAAAGAATTATTAATGTGCTGGTTAGTAGAGACTGAATTTATGAGAATTGGGTGCAATTAAGCGTACTTTCATTATTATCTTTGGTGTTGAAGATATATCATACAGGCTGTGATGGAAGAGTAGAGAGTTGAGAAGAAATTGTAGATTTACCTATTTTTCAAGACGTTGAAAAGAAAAGGTGATAGTTCTTTAAAATATCCTGGAATAAATGTCAGCAAGGTATTAGGTTATACCATTGTGATATAGAGCAGCACAAGATTTCATTTTTCCTTGATAATGGTAAGGTGCCATTTTCTTCTGTTGCCATCTGGAAAAAAAATTGTAACTATAAGAAAGATTTACAGTGATACAAAGACTTGGCCACACACTCTGTCTCGTATTTTTATATGGTTGAAGAAGCGTTCCTGTTCAACATTGGGAAAAAAAATTATTAAAGAGAAAGTTAAAAAGAAAAAGAAAAAGATACTGTTATTGTTTCATGTTGTTATAATGTATGGTTGAAAATACATGTACAGGCCTATAGATTCCATATTGTATATAGTGGAACAGTATTGAAATACACAATACAGTTTTAGTCTGTTCTTATTTACCCTTTTTTATAATGCTTGACTTGCTGTTTAAGTTGTAATGAGGAAATCTATTTTCTTCACACGTTCTCTATGGTATAATTTTGTTATTCCTCACCATCATTATCTCCCTCAAAGATTCTTACTTAAATTGACTCTCTTATTCTTCAGTGATTACCACTTTCAATCTGTTTTATTCAAGTTATCCAAGTTATTCAAGAAATAAACCTTCAGACAGGTTTATTTCTCTCTTGGAAGATGAAGTACAAGTGATTAATTGGTTTTGAGTTAATACCGATAGAGAAAAAAATATATTGTAAATCATTATTTCTCCCAATGCTGCCACTTGCATGTCGTGTTAAGACTTGTTCTTTTAGTCTCACATCTGTGTATGGTGAATGTGAGTCTTTTATTCAGTTGTCCTCCACATGGTTATTCCTCTGATGAGATCCTGCTCCTGAACTATAAAGGGCGTTATGCAGTTGTTAGCTGGTGGATGTCATTCAAATACATAGTAGCAGACTAATAATGTCTTGGGATACACTAGTAATGGGGTATTGACTAAAGGTATAGCCATTGCTAGTTCCTGTGCAGAGTTCCTTGGCATTATACTTTTCGAACAGCATTAGCAGGTCACCTATAATGCTGTTTGCACTGATAGTGCCTGAGAAATTTGTCAGTATTTCTTGCCAGCATGAAGGATAATAAAGTTAAGTTCTATTTGCTGGTTAGTTAGAGTAGTGGATCAAATGATAGCCTCCTACCTAAAGGCAAACTGACTGCTGCTATAAAAAAGACATTCTAACCACAAGGTTTTTGATTGATGTTTGATATTGAGACAAAGACAGGCATTTTTATTCTTATGTAGCAAGTTGATGAGGTGTCCTAACTACATGTTGCTACATTTCCAGTTGTCTATTATAATACCTGAATGCAATTTTAAATCATGAAGGCTATTTTTCATGTTATACAGTTAAAAAGCATGGAGCCGATTTAAAGAAAAGAACGAAACATGTCCAAAAATATCCCATGGAGTAGTGGCGACAAATTATTGCAAAAGCAAAGCATACTGACTTACTGTGCAGTCAGAAGGAAAGACTGCATGGTCTTTAACTTCACTACAAGGTAATTTCTGAGAATTAAAGTGTTTTTGTGTGTCGGTAAATAACAACCTCTTTCATTAATCTAAAGCAAAATGAAGGCCTTATTCAAGTACAGTGTGTTCCCCATGAGTAACTCACACTTCAAGTAGCATAATGATCTATCTATATATCTTACAAAAGTAATGATTCACATGGATATTAATGCTCACCTTCCTATTAATGGACTCGGTTGTTCATTGTTCCCCTTAAATCCGAAGGCTCTGGCAATGTATTCCAGGTGATAAGAGTATTGGAGATGCAAAGACAAACCCACTGGATGACAAGGTCCTGAAAATTTTTCGTAGAGATCAATCCCCTGTAGATTTCCTATCACCGACAGGAGGAAAGTGAGCATAACAACACTCACACACGAAGGCAAAAAAGTTATGATGGTTCTTCCTGTCATATATGATTTGAATGTGATCACATCACACCCCCAGGTCCTGGAAGCTTCCCACTTGATAAAGACAAGTACCCCAACCAAGAAAGTCTGATCACTATACAGGGAGCCTCCTTTAACTCCCTTGACATGGGACTCTAGGCCAACAGGAAGGGTAGTCCCACATGTGGCATATATAGCCAAGACGTACAAAATGACAGTGTGCCCCAAGCCACATAAGGATGGCAAGATGTACATGGATGCATAGTGTCTCAGTTGTGCCAGGAAACATTATGGCTTTAGCCTAGCCTATTCTGTCAGGACAAAATTTTATATCTTAATTCCCAGGCACCAGTGTCTAGGGACAGAACATATCCAGCATTTGCAGAGGCAGAGAACCCCTGAGAATATATTTTTCTTGAGGGAGGTTTTCAGGGATGCTCAGTAAACTACCAAGAGCGTCAGGTAGAGTAAGTGACTGGAACGATGTGAGTCCTTTGGCCAACAGGTCTTCCATACAGAGCTTTGGCATGGTATCAGAGTGCCGGTTGATTCAGGAACGCCTTCAACCAGGCAGATATGCCTCACTAAAGGTAAGGTAACTGGGTCTACTGACTCCAAGGCTGGTTTTTGTAAGGAAAATAAGGACATACAAGATCGGTTCTTGCTCAGCCCTCATGTCTGGTGTAAGAATACATACCCAGGAGCTGGAACTATCATGGTTTCCTGTCTTTCAGTACTTTGGGGTATGGGTCATCCAGAATCCCACTCTCCAAAAGGAGGTACAGTACCTGGCAAGCCGAACCAAGGCAACTTGTCCCTAGAGTCCGTCAGTGTGAACTATGTCTCTGTCACCCTGATCACTGCTGAGCCCGGACCCAAAGCTTGAGCCAGTCATAGGTTGGATCGAGGATTACGAAGCTTTTCCACCTAGACATGGAGGCCGCCATTCTCTCGAAACTGTCAAAATTATCTAATGCCAGCACAGTTCTCTGCCAGGATTACCCAGGATATGGAACTCAGATAACTGGCGGTCCCATACACCCTGGTAGTCGCATACAGCCAGGGCACTGCACACTCACTGGCTAAGGGCATGGACTCCCTCCACCCTGGCTATTGCAACTGGCAGTGGGCACATTCCTGGATCGAGGTTTTAGTCACGAGGTTGACAGTGAAAAGCCAATACTCTCGTGATGATGGAGGGCAGAAGCACAGATAAACACACACACACACACACACACACACACACACACACACACACACACACATATATATATATATATATATATATATATATATATATATATATATATATAGTATATATGTATATATGTATATATATATGTGTGTGTGTGTGTGTGTGTGTGTGTGTGTGTGTGTGTGTGTGTGTGTGTGTGTGTGTGTGTGTGTGTGTGTGTGTGTGTGTGTGTGTAGATAGATAAATATATATGTATAAATATATGTATATAGATACACACGCACACACACACACACATGTGTGTATGTATATGTATATATATATATATATATATATATATATATATATATATATATATATATATATATATATATATATATATATATATATATATATATATATATATGCATATATATATGTATATATATATATATATATATATGCATATATATATGTATATATATATATATATATATATATATATATATATATATATATATATGCATATATATATGTATATATATATATATATATATATATATATATATATATATATATATATATATATATATATATATATATATATATATGCATATATATATATATATATATATATATATATATATATATATATATATATATATATATATATATATATATATATATAAGTATATATATATATATATATATATATATATATATATATATATATATATATATGTATATATATATGTACATATATATATATATATATATATATATATATATATATATATATATATATATATATATATATATACATATATATGGGTGGGTGCTTCATGCTCAGAGTGATGTGAAACGATGGTGTGGAAGCCTAGATAATGTTAAGTGCTTTGCATGCCCTCTCGCTTGCAGCTGCCACCGCTGGCTAGCCTGGTGCGAAACAGGGAGCAGCTCCGCATAAGCCTCCCCTGCCAGTTCATAGCCTCTCCGTCATCGAGACTTCTGCAGTGCCTCCTCGTGGACACCCATGGAAACTGAATACCTTGCGGTTCCAAGCTAAACTGCGTTAGATCTCAGAGCAGCAGAAGGCCATAGAAATACGGAGTCATGGCTTACCAGCATGTGGACACGCCCTGGCTCTGTATTAACTCCTGCCCCTCAGCCCCCTAGGGTCAATGGGTGGCTCGGGGGAGGAGGGCCTTACCAGTCTTCCTCCCCCCAGATAAAAAAAGATAAAACAGCAGGCAACTTCATTTATAAATGGTAATGCTGGGAGGAGGGTTACTGACCCTCTTATCCAGAAAGTGAGGCACCCCACCCCACCTTACATAGGGTGGCGTTGGCGGGGGTGGCTGATCCCAGCATCGAGAACAGCCTCCTTCTCCGGGACTTTGCTAGGTCCCAGAGACTGATGATTTCTGGTATCATCACTCCAACCCGCTTCGCTGAACATGATACAGTGATACAGGTTCTGTGGCCAAGGGAATTGATCACATACTTGTCAGCACTCGATGGAGGATCCTTCAGAACTGCAGGGTTTACCGGGGTTCTGTGGCACTAACCATAGGCTGGGTGTTTCACTTGGACAGATTAAGGGGGGAGAAGTGTTCCCGGAGGTTCGCCACGGCAGTTTCTTGCCCGAGGGCAAGGCAGAATTTCACTTCACTGAAGAATTGGAGGCCACAGAAGTATGTCGCATGGCTAGGCTGAATGGCAATCAGGACTTGCGTCGTTCGTTGGTGTGTAGGGCTCAGACACAGTTGAAAAGGAACAAGGAACAGGAACTTTGTTGAGGAGGTTGAAGGCCATTTCTTGGTAAATGACCTTTGCCCTGCCTATCAAGCCCTCAGAAAACTGAACTTTAAGCCCTCCTCGCAGATTGAGCAGTTGTACCAGGTATGCCCTCCAGCAGTTAGTTTAGATGCAAGCGGTATCACAATACCTGTGCCGGACCCACCCATCAGTGAGGACGGCGATTTCTAAGCTGAAGGGTGGGAAAGCTGCGGGTATATGTGATATCCTTGCTGAACTACTGAAGGCAGGGGGTGAACCTATGGCATGGGGCTTGCATACAATCTTGACTGCCATCTGGCAGTCTGGTTCCATTCCCCTGACCTGGAAGGGGAAAGGGGATCGTTGGGACTGTAGCAACTACCGCAGCATCACACTGCTCAGCATATCAGGCAAGGTTTTGGCCACATTCTTCTGAAAAGAATCCTTGACCACCTAATAAGGCACCAAAGACCGAAGCAGACTGGATTCACTCCTGGCAAGTCTAAAATAGACCGTATCCTAGCGCTTCAA